TCATTGGTTTTGCTTTTTTTATTTTTTATTTATTTATTACATTTCGTCTATTCTAATGGGTTTGATTTGGTAATTTGTTTGCGTTAATTTATTTTACTTATTTTATTGTCATTTTGTTTATTTATTTATTTATTTTATTTTATTTTTTTCAGTTTTCAATTTTTAAGTAACGTAGTAAAAATTTGTTTTCATGTCTGCATTTTGTGGTGAGCGCGTATCGTTTATTTAATAATTTATTTTGGTCTGGGAAGTTAATGATAGCTATTTTTTCCTCCAAGCAAAGTTTGCAAGTTGTGGATTGGTTGTTGTAGGCTGATAATCTTTTCCTTATTTTCCAAGATATTTTTGGTGTGATGTGCATTTTGTTTTTAATTTCCCAGATATACTTAGAAAGCATTGTGCTGTTCGCATATTTACTATTTGTGAAAGATGTTTTGTGTGCATAATTTCTTTGTTTCCAGGGTTCTTCAGTTACTCCGATGTATGCTTTTTCTTCATTATCTGGTGATTTTATCATGGCTTGGTATATTACATTGTTTTGTAAGCAGTTACCGTTTAAGGGGCATTCATTCTTTATTCTGCAGTTACACGTGGGTTTAAATTGTTTGTGTTTGTTGATATTTTTACCCATTATCAAAGATGATTTTATTTTTTACTTTTAACTAAATGTATGGATTGTTTTATGTATGTATTTAGAGTTAAAGGAATGTTTTATTTCGCAAACACGGTCAGCATATTATGGCCGTGTTCATAGTTGATATTATTTAGTATTGGCTTTTTTCTTTTTTTATTAATAATGCTTCCATTATTTGGAGCCTTTTTTTACATGTGGATGAGGATTTTCATTTGTATTATCAACAAGTATGTTGCGGATAGAGTTTAGAGGTCGTAATTGATCTATGGTCAGAGAGATGTATCGTGAGTCTTCTTGTTAGGCATGTTGTAGTATATCCAATTTAATTATTTATGAATATAGATTGCTCAAGAACACACAAACTCCCACCACAACATACTCTTCTTCAATGTAATCCTCTTCTGAAAGTACATGCTTTTAACCAGCGTCATTTTTAGTGAACAGCTGCCTCGTCACATTCTCGTAAATTTCCTCGATGTTTTGAAATCTTGTTTCAAGTGGGATTTTATTTTTGGAAAGAGGAGTTAATATATACAAGCTTGTCAGGTAGGTGGCTCACTGCCTTCCCCTGTGCCTCTTGGCCTCAATATGCCCTGTGAGGATTAAGTTTTCCACTCCCTCCTTCCTCATTATTCTTAGTATAAGTGTTCTTTATGTTGCCATTTTCTTTAAGACTTCCTCATTCATTATTCACTCCATCCACGGAATTCTCAGTATCCTTCTGTAGAATAATATTTATCTTCCCTTCAGTTTACTTCTCATCTGCACATAGATTGTCCAACTTTCAAATGTTATAGGAATGGATTGATATCGCATTTTATTCTAGCACTATTTTCTTTGATTCTAATGAAATTTTCCTGTTTCTTAATTCTTTGCTTAGTTTCTCGAAGGCCACTTTTTCTATTCTAATGTAAAAAAATAAGATATTACACAGCAGTTCAGTAATCTTTTCTTTGTTTCTAATGATTTTTTTGTGTTTTTAATACATTGCTTCCTTTCTGGAAGGCACTTTTCTCTATTCTAACATAAAAAAATAGCTATTACGCAGCAGTTCAGAGCTCTTTTCATTGTTTTTAAGGAAAATTTCCAGTTTCTTAATACATTTCTTAGCTTCTGGAAGGCACATTCTCTATTCTAATGTAAAAAATAAGATATTATGCAGCAGTTCAGTACGGTTGTCTTTGTTTCTAATGGAATTTTTGTTTTTCTTAATACTTTGCTTAGTTTCTGAAAGGTAACATTATCTATTCTCATGTAAAAAATTAGATATTACACAACAGTTCAGTACTTTGCTTTGCTTCTAATGAAATTTTCCTGTTTCTTAATACTTTACTTAGTTTCTGGAAGGCATCTTTCTCTATTTTAATGTAAAAAATTAGATATTATGCAGCAGTTCAGCAGTCTTCTTTTGTTTCTTATAAAATTTTCCTGTTTCTTAATACTTTGCTTAGTTTCTGGAATGCACTTTCTCTGTTTGCTCATTTTGGGAAAAATAGTTCAATTTAAGATCTTGGCTGATCACAAAATTTAGTTAATAAAGGTCGTAGAAACCTATCAATTTTCAGGTAGGCCGAGCAATTTATGCCAGCCACTGGAAATAAACTATTTTTATAAGAAAAAAGTGTTTTGGAGTCCAAAATTTTAAAATAGAAATACCGAAGTTTTCCAATTTATCACCACAATTCAAATTGACTGATAAACTTTATCAGTAATACACTTTAGTAAACCTGATAATTAAGGTGACATAAAAAAAAATGAGACCCTAAAATCTTCTGTTTGATATTCATAAATTTATCTCATCACTTGTATCCCCTCACTAAATAAGGAAACCAATAAAAGCATTTTTTCCACAGTTGGAAAGAAACTTCAACTAAAGACATCCCAACTGAATGCACCTATTCCATTGTACATGATACTGATGGAATATCAAAAGAGACTTAAATAACATTGAACATGACAGGCAATTAAGAAAGAATTTTTTTTACTATAGTTCTTATGTTCACGTACGTTTTATTTCTACTGTTAGTTTATTAAATGATTTGATGAAAATACTTGTTGATCTTTGTATATTTAATCAGGTTATTTTTAGACTTAGGGTCTGATTGTTATTGCAAAAATAGTATTTCTCAATAAGCAGACCAATATTTGTTGGTTTAAATATAAATTTAGAGGTTTCTAAGGTATTATTTTGAGAAATATTGCCATCAGTCAATATCTTATATGCAGAGAACAAATGAAAAATGCTTTTATTCCAAAACTGAGTTATTTCTGTAAAGCAAAAACGGTAGCTAACCAAGAAAATGTAAGGCCATTTTCAGATTCAGTACCCTGAAATTAGCTAAAAAAGATGTCTGGTGTTTCAACACACTTTGAAATTTTTTTTTTTTTTGACGAGTGTAATAAATAGAAGTTTGTGGGGTACAGCGTACCCGGATTAAAAGGAGAATTTAATACGGGATTCCCTGCCCACAAAATACAACGCAAATTTCAAGAAAAGACAACACCATAAGGAACGTTTGTAGAAAATAGAACATTGTATATTTAATGTCATTCATGCAGTTCGTTTAAGCAAATGTGATTTAAACAAAAAATGTCTATGTGTTTGCTGTCTTTCAACAGAGTAGTAGAGTAATGTCTGTTTCTTTTGTTTTTGTGTATCCGCCGAGTAGGTGGAAAGGAAAAAGGGGCGATCAATTTAAATTGAAAAAGAAAGTGTGAATGAGAAATAAAAGATTAGAGGAAAATGTACTTATCGGGTTGAATTGTTTTGGAGTCAGTTGTAAATTTGTTGTTGTTGTTTTCCGTTCCTACCCCACTTTCTGCTCTTAGTGTCTGGTTGAGTCAGTGACGGGCCTGACTGTCAGTCTTCTGTCCTCTATGATCTCTGCGCCCTTCTGACTGGTGATTGACTTGAAACTCTCTATTTATAGCTGACTTTTTTTTCACATTGGATCGTTATCTTTTTTTTTGGTTTAGCAAATCGCCTCCTTTCATTGGTCAGAAAATTAATTTCACACCTTATTGTGAAATCTGTTTTTGGTCGTTTTGATCCGATTTTGCGGGTGTGAAAATCTACTTTGTGTTTTTCAGTCATTTGTTGGAATGATATAGGATTTGTATCCTATAAGTTCAGCAAACTTTTCTTTGTTTCTTAGGGCTTCTACTAATCACCCAATACATTGTTTTGATTCATAGAACCGATTTCTTTCACTTTTTGATCAACGAGAGAATTATCGTACATTCACTGCCATGTAAGCGGATAGATATGATATAAGGTTCCAGTTTTCTTTTTTTCACTTTTCAGGATATTCACATCCCTGTCGCCTTCAGATTACTTTAGATGTGAAGAAAATGGCCTTCATTCACTACCTTGTAGGAGGATGGATATCACATAGCATTTCAGAATTTTTTTCCATATTTCTCAAGATATCCATCAATAGAATTACATCCCCGTTTCCTCTGGTTTCCACTTCATGTGTGAAGAAATTGGTCTGCATTCTCTGCTCTTTAGAAGGTGAGATATGGCACGGCAGGTTGGCAATCTCATCTCTCCAGAACATTTTTGTCTTGTGAACTTTGTTCTTTGGTTTCAAAAACTGTTTCATTAATTCAACCTTACTCCATCTTTACATATTTTTTGCTGATCTAATTTTTCTCTTCCATATTTGTTGCATAATCCTCAGCCTTCATGGTTTAACTTCTTTTATTTTATTTTTTTCCTTTTCACTTTTATCTTTTCTTTCTACGTGTTTTTCTTTCCCTTTTTTTCAAGTATTTTTTTTCTTTCCTCCCGCTTCTCTTCTCTCCAGAATTTTCCTTGCTTCTCATTAGCCATATTTGCACCAATCAGACTTTGAAAGACTCCTTTACAGCATCTTTTTATTCTCGATAACATTTCAACCCACCTTTGCACCTAACAACTTCTACCGCTTCAACCGGCCTCTCAAAATTTTGTGACAACTAATTTACACTTTTTCTGTTTGTTTCAATTTCAGGACTCTTGATTCCAGAAATATGTGAAGATTTTTGAAAAAAGATAAGAAAAGAAAATGAACAGAAAAATGATGCTGCCTCTTGAAGTACTGAAATTACTTAATGGGCTATTTTGTAGCAGGTTGTTAGCGGTCTTAGACAAGAAGAAAGTGTGAAATAAAGAAGAGACAAAAAGAAAATAAGAAAAGATTAAAAAATAAAATTAAATAATAGAAAATTTGAAAGCCAGTAATTGGATAAAAATAATGTAAAATAAAACAAGAAAATGTAAAGAGTGCAATATATTTCTTATATTGAAGAAAAAGCCAAATAATATATAACAGGCAAATAAGTAAATGGAGAAATGAAAAGGAGAGAGAGACGTATGCAAAGAATGAAAAGTGATAAAACTTCTTCTTCTTTTCCTTTTCTTCTTCTTCTTCTTCTTCTCCTCCTTTCATTCTTTCTATATTTCTTTCTTCTTCTTCTTCTATCGTTCTTTCTATATTTCTTTTTATTTCTTTTTTACCCTAACTTCTTTCTATTCGTCTGCCTCTTTCTTCTCTCTTCCTTTTAATTTACTTTCTCAGTCTTCTTCTTTTTCTTCACTTCTTCCTCCTCTTCTTCTTCTTCTTTTTCTTCTTCTTCTTCTTCTTCTTCTCCTCCTCTTCCTCCTCTTCCTTTTATTCTTTCTGTATTTCTTTTTATTTCTATTTCCCCCCCCTTCATTCTTTCTATTCGTCTCTTGTCTAATGACCGTTTCTTTAGACTTTGTCGTCCATCGTTCTTTCTTCTGCTTTTCCTCCTTTTGCCATGTGTCTGTCTCTTTCTTCTCCCTTTCTTTTATTTTCCTTTCTCAGCCTTTTTCTTTTTCTTCTCTTCTTCCTCCTCCTCCCCTTCTTCTTCTTTTTCTCTTCTTCTTTTTCCTCTTCTTCTTCTTCTTTTTCTTCTTTTTTCTTCTTCTTTTCATTTCTTCTTGTTGTTGTTCTTGTTTTTTTTTCTTCTTCTTCTTCTTCTCCTCCTCCTCCTCCTTTCATTCTTTCTATATTTCTTTCTTTCTTCTTCTATCGTTGTTTCTATATTTCTTTTTTTACCTAACTTCTTTCTATTCGTCTTTTGTCTGCTTCTTTCTTCTCTCTTCCTTTTAATTTACTTTCTCAGTCTTCTTCTTTTTCTTTACTTCTTCTTCCTCCTCCTCTTCTTCTTTTTCCTCTTCTTCTTCTTTTTCTTCTCTTCCTCTTCCTCCTTTTATTCTTTCTGTATTTCTTTTTATTTCTATTTTCCCCCTTCATTCTTTTTATTCGTCTCTTGTCTAATGATCATTTTCTTTGAGTTTGTCGTCCATCATTCTTTCTTCTGCCTTTCTTTCTTTTGCCTTGTGTCTGTCTCTTTCTTCTTTTTTTTTTTCCTTTCTTCTTCTTCTTCTTCTTTTTTTTTCTTCTCTTCTTCCTCTTTTTCTTCTTCTTCCTCTTTTTCTCTTCTTCTTGTTCCTCCTCCTCTTCTTCTTCTTCTTCTTCTTCTTCTTCTTCTTCTTCTTCTTCTTCTTCTCTCTTCCTCCTATTTTTCGTTGTATATTTCTTTTTATTTCTCATTGAATATAACATGCCCAATAAGAACTGGAACTTGGCTCTTTGATTACCAATTCCAGGCCATTATCCATTACACCACGTGCACATCCAGGTTTACAGTACCTAGTATTTCCTAAGTGGTCACCCGTCTAGGTACTGACTAGCCTCGATGTTGCTTAACTTTGGTGATCATACAGGAACTGGTTTTTCAATGTAAGCCCTTGCAAAATGATGAGACTTAGCTGCCAATCCGGTACTACACTTAAAAACCAAGGTACCAAAGAGGAAAGCTGTTGTACAGTAAAACACAATACTCTGTGTTCTTCTCTACTACAGTGACAATGGACTGCTCCTACTTATAAATATAGCAAGTAGCCACATTAGAGTAGGATTTGAGGAGTAGTTGATTTACTCAAGTTTTCCTGTTGTTTCCCCTAGCAAGTCTTATGTTCCTTCAATACTCTCTCTATGGCCTTCCTAATTCTCAGCTATTTTGAACTCCTATGTATAAGTATTTAATAAACCTTCTACTTTGTTTGACCTACCTACACTTCTGTTACTTCGATACTCTCTCTAACTACGGCCTTCCTAATTATCGGCTATTTTGAACTCCTGTGTATGAGTATTTAATAAACCACTTCTTCATTGTTTTCCCAACCACGTCTTCTGTTCCTTTGATAATCTCTCTAACTTCTTAATTCTCATCTATTTTTAACAAAGACATGTACACACTGTGTCAGCGTGGAGAAAATTTAAAGAAACAACTTGACATACAAGAGTATTCAAAAGGCTCTGCAACAGGTTTGAAGACTGTTAGGGTTGGCATAATCACCAGGTATGTCCCACGGGGAACATTTTTGGAACATGACAAGATGGCACTTGACCTGTTAATTTACCCCACCTATAACTCTTACTGTATTGAACTAATGAATACAAGAGGCATAGGAGAATGTATTGCAAAACATTGCTCACAATCTGCGTGTTTTTATGAATGTTTTAAATCCCCAATCAGGATATACAGTGAATTAATATGCAGTTTGAGTACTGTTGATACATTCCTTATTTTAGAACTTATGCATATATTGGCTTGTATTTGTGAACCAGGTACATTATTACCTGTAAATTTAATCTTGAAGAAACCGAAAGATAATCATGGTACTGAAATTTTATTTTCATTTGTGTGCTGGCATATATATATATATATATATATATATGTAAGCAAATTTATGGATATAGATCCGACAGTATGAAGAAAAATATATACGGAAAAAACAAACAAAAATCCTAATATGCAATTATGCTGTTTTAATGTTGATATGTCAACGTCGGACGTTTCGGTCTAATTATTTAATTAATTATTTAATAAACCTTGTTTATTGTCATGTTGTATTGATAATGTTATAATTCATGAATATGTCCTGAAGATGGTTTATTAGACCGAAACGTCCGACGTTGACATATCAACATTAAAACAGCTTAATTGTATATAAGGATTTTTGTTTGTTTTTTTCCGTATATATTTTTCTTCATATATATATATATATATATTTGTTAACCATTAAGGCAGGATGTGTGTGTGTGTAATGAATGCACGGCCGCAATTTTCGACGGATTGGGACCAATATTTACATGCACATGCTCCAAGTTAGTGGAAAGGCCAAGACCGACTTTGCATTTCCCAACATTCCCAATGGTACTTGTAAGTGAAAATAACAAACACAATTGGAATTGTAACTTGGAATACCAAATTCCAATTCCAAAGAGTTATTCATTATGCCACCTGCACATTAAAGCTTACAGCACCTAGTATTCCCAAGAAGTCACCCATTTAGGTACTGACCAGACTCGACATTGCTTAACTTCGGCAAACAGAGAAACAGTGTTTCAACATGATATGGCTGTAAGTTTCAATAGATGCAACAAATCAAAGACAGAGCTATGTTCGGCACCCACTATGTGGGGTAAGGTCAGGTTGGATTGGTAAATTTAATGGCACCCCAACCCACGTAGTAAAATATGATATATAGGACAAAAATCACAATTAAAAAGAGAAGGGCACTTCAATGTGGTGTAATGATTTATAAGATTTTGTTGAACATAAATTGGGGTATCAGTTTTTTATTGTTATTAACTAATGAAGTGACCCCTCAGACTTGCATATGAAAACCCTTCTAATAATTGCAAGGACATAAAGTCTCAATTTAAGGTTTTGACCACATAAATGACAATTGATTCAAGCTTAGCCAGATTTAACACGGGGTTCCAATTGTAAGTACAGTGTAACCCGGATATAAGAGAGTTGTCGGGACCGGAGAAGAAGTCTCTTATATCCGGGTTTCTCTTATATCCGGGTTTGGTCTGTTTTATATACATTAACACAGGCTCTAATTTGGGACCAGAGAAAATCTCTCTTATATCCGGGTTTCTCTTATATCCGGGTTACACTGTAGTAAGAATCACTTTTTCTATGATGCTGTCTTGACCTATTGTATATTGTTTTAATAGAGGGCAATGGAACTTATACTAAGTTAAAACTTATTTAAAAAAAAAATCCCCCCCTTTCAGTAAGTATTCCAGTCAAAATGTCAGCGACTAAACCAACTACACCACTCCCAGTTCTTCTGAGTGAAGCGGCTTGTTCTCAAGCCAGTAGGATGAAAAACAAGACCTAAGAAAGGACAGAGGAACTCTCTGAGTCAATGTCCAGCTAACTAGAGGTGGTGTCTCCATAAACCACCCAGAAAAAGGCAACGGGAAACCACTCCACTATCAATCCCAAGACACATCATGGCCGACGACTTCACCTTTAATTAAATGTAGTTGTCTTTTAGAGTACAATCATCACCTGTTATAAATACAATGTTTACGTAATGTTTTACTGTTCTTATACATTATTACAGTTAATAAAAATGGTAAAGGCACTTTGGCACCACTCTTTCCGTTTCTTTTTTTTTTTTTTTTTTTTTTGAGCTAATAACAGTGAAAGAAAAGAAATAAAGGTGGTAGGGGAAGCCATTTGAAAATCATTCATTCCTAAGAAGGAACTCTTAGATGTAGCAGACACCTTGGACAAGGATTGTACTGGCTGCACTGTAACCTTTCCAGTGTGATCTGTAATGGCAGTAGAAATAGAGTTGCTATCGCAAGACTTGTCGGAATCAATTCAGTAGCAGAGGGGAATATGAAAAAAAGAAAGATAAAAAGTAAAAATTAATGAACAAATATACAAATTGATGTTATATAGAGGTAGGAATATTTCAAATTTGTCATTATATTATCCACAAGTAGCTAGATAAACAGATTTGTACAGATCTTCCAAATTATATATATATATATATATATATATATATATATATATGGAGTGTATATACAAAATATATATCAGACGAAATGTGTATATACAAAAATATATGTGGGTGTGCAAGATATATACAATGATATATATCAGCCATATTGTGTGTGTATATATATATATATATATTACATAACAAGGGAATTAAAATTACCTCATGTTATAGACTTTCGAGCAACGTCTGTATGTTGGCTTTATTCAACCCAAAAGCCAATATAGAGACATTGCTTGAAACAGTCTATACCATGAGGTAATTTTAATTCCCTTGTTATGCAATATATATATATATAGATAGATAGATACATAGATAGATAGATAGATAGATAGATAATATATATAGATATATAGGTATATATTAATGCTCTGTAAATTTACATGAGGTAATATTAATTTCCCTGTTATGTAATATATATGCTTTGTTATAAAAAATACATTGAGCTCTCTTTGTGGATCAGTTTTAATATTTTATATTATTAGGATTATATGGATTTATTACCTGTACTATATATATATATATATATATATATATATATATATATGTGCGTGTGTGTGTGTGTGTGTGTGTGTGTGTGTGTATGGAGGATATATACAAATATATATAAGATGAATTAAATATATGTATATATATATATATATTTGTATATTTAGGCAGCAATCCTTCCTTTATGCATGTTTCATTAAAACGACAGACAAGGTACTACGGTTGAGCTTTTTTATTTAATTTTTCTTGTGTTCTGACAAGAGCTTTCTTTTCTGGACAAAGAGTGTAAGAACTGTCCGAATGTTCTGTGTTTCCGAGCGCTTTCGGCTATACCTTTAGCCATTATCAAGGATGATTCAATTATCAGCTTAGTAGAGTGTGTGTGTGTTCTGTGTATGTTCAGTGTGTGGTAGTGATGTTTTTTAGTTTCCGAATACGGTTAGCACATTGTGGCTTTGTTCATAGTTAATATTGTTAAGGGTTGGCTTTTTTTTTTTTTATTATTAGAGCTTCCATTATTTTTAGTCTTTTTTGCAAGTGGATGCAGTTAATATATTTGTGTTTTCTACTAGTATGTTCCTAATAGTGTCGGGTAAATCTGAGTGTGTGTTTAAATGTGTTCTGATGGAACTGTGATCAGATAGGTGTAACGTAAGACGTCTGGATAAGCATGTGGTTGTGTAGCCGATGTAATTATTTATGAGTCCGGTTTGGTGAGGAACGCAGTTCCTTAAAGGGCATTTGAACTCATAGATAATGTTTGTTCTTTGTAATTTTGACTTCGTTGGTGTGTTGTTATTTTTGAGGATAAGGTTGGCCGTCTTAAATTTTTTATAATAGATAATATAAGCTCAACCGTAGTACCTTGTCTGTCGTTTTTAATGAAACATGCATATATATATATATATGTGTGTGTGTGTGTGTAAAATACAAAAATACATATCAGTTGAATTGTATATATTATGGGTAAATAGCAGGATAGACTTGATTCTATAGCCTTGAATGGTAACTGGTTTAAGAGAAGAACAACTCTGAATTCAAAACCTGTGGAGGGTCGTTTGAGGACCTTGTGGCATGTAGTGCACCAGGTCTCTTCAAAAAGTGTAGTTGGTTCTGCATAAAGCTTTTACCACTATAATGAAATCATATGTGCTGGTGTCTGGGCTGT